TTGTGCACTTGGTGAAGGGTGATCAGGGCCTTAAACACCGCAACGTCATTCTACGGGTAGGCGACATGGGCAACGCAGTCAACATCTTAAACGCTCAGCATCTCTACGGTGTGTTGGGGGATGCCTTCTGTATTTGTTTATGAATGCAAAGCTTGCAGCTGTTGTGTACTGAACGCAGCAGATGAACATACGTCTCTGACGTGTTTGAGTGTGTCTTTTGCATTCACCATGCTCAGGTGATAAATGTAGCCGACGAACACACATCTCATATGTGTTTGTGTGTATGTTTTGCATTTACCATGCCCATGTAATGAACTTAGATGTATTGTGTATATTGAAAGGGTCCGAGTTTATGTGCAGCACCTGCACTGTTTGTGTTTTATGTATGTACTGCTGCGTTGTCAGTTTGATGGTGTGCGTGTTGTCTACGGTCAAGCTCTAGATTTATCAAGTACATGCCAAGCCTGCTCTATGGCTTGCGTATGCATGTGGTGTGTGCCATCCTATATACTGCTTGCTCAGCATTCAGACACTGCGCGTACTAAGTATCTATGGATGGTTCCTGTTGCTCCATTCCAGGTGAAGGTGGACCCTCAGCTGAAGAATCCACCCAGGCTTATGCGCCGCCAGAAACTTTATTTGGAGGAGAAGCCTACTCGAAGGAATTTCCCGGTGTGTGATAGTTAATAATTGCAAGGCCGCCCCTTGAACAAAACGGCTTAATTCATTAGATTATAGTGTCCGAGTATACCCGTTTGCATGTGTGTTTTATTCAAATAAATGCATGTGGCATACCTCTGTCGATGTTATGCAAGTCGTCACCTTCGTGTCCACGAAATGGGTTTGGATGCACGGAATGTGGACAGGGCGCCAAATGTGTATAATGGTGTAGTTGCGTTTGTATGTCTGCATTAGGTTGCGTAGTACTTGTTAAAGACTTCATGCTCGCCGTTTACTGACCTATTGAAGCAGAAAACTAACCTATGCACGAGAAGTACCATAATCATCTGTATTTACGTATATATGATGGTATCTGTGTGTTTATATATTTTTCGGCACTCCAATTGTTTGCTGAGTATTGGTAGGGCAATCTAACACCTGCCGTGACCTGCTCAAGCATAGAGCATTTGTTTAATGTAGGTACATTTCGTGCTCAAGCATAGAGGATTCGTTTAATGTAGGTATATTGCCTGCTCAAGCATAGAGCATTCATTTAATGTAGGTATATTACCTACTCAAGCATAGAGCGTTCGTTTAATGTAGGTATATTACCTGCTCAAGAATAGAGCATTCGGTTAATGTAGGTATATTACCTGCTCAAGCATAGAGCATTCGTTTAATGTAGGTATATTACCTGCTCAAGTGTAGGTATATTACCTACTCAAGCATAGAGGATTCGTTTAATGTAGGTATATTACCTGCTCAAGCATAAAGGATTCGTTTATTGTAGGCGTATCAACTGCATACGCAGAATGCTTTATTTAACTACCCTTATAATATTTACGCATGCAGAAAGCTTTGACATGTGGTCCGTTGGGATTGTCATGATGGAGTTAGTGCTGGGCACAGCCGATGTGTTCAGAGTAAGTGTGTTTGGGCTCCAATTGCATACATGCTATATAGGCATCTCTCATTCCGGAATCCATCGGCGTACGTAGATATTATGTAGAAAAAGTATACATGATTCATGGTGAGTGATGGCACTTTCTATAGTATGCGCATCTTGTGCGCGTCAGGGTGTATAGCATTGTAGTCAAGAGTTTGCCACTCGCATGATCTCTGTATCAGCAGGATACCCTCCTGATACCCTCCTGTGTGAATGAGGTTTTCTTCTACGGATTCAAATTCGGTGCAAGAGGCGTTTAATAAGGCTAAACCGAAGTATCGTATAGCGTGCGATCATCGGCTCAGCTACGGATATTATTCCAATTGATATTACAGTCTGCTTTTGCATACACAGAACATCGATAACCTTCCATCAAACTTGCAAGTACGCGTGTAGCTTCCCACACCCATCAAACTGAGGACCAAGTACACATCATCACTAAGCATGATTAACTTACGCCATGTTCTCCTGCGTTGTAGGTGGACTCGCGTGTGCGTGCGATAATCAATCACCGCATGGCCGATAGATCGGAACGGGACAAGAGATCAGCGTGCATGTATCAGATGATGCAACGCTTCTGCTTTCACGCATACGATGTGTATGTGGTTGTCTATTGCTCAAACGTGTGCCTTGTTATATATTGTTTTCGTCGGTGTACGCATGCTTCTTCCATATAGAACTGTGTGCGACGGTAATTCATAGGCATATAATTTGTACTTGTTCTGTGCGATTCTACGTTCTACATCTCATACAACGCGCAGTTGCAATAAAGAAAGCCAAAAGGAGCATTTGCCTCCACCTGTTCTTGACATAACAATACTAGCTGTCAACACTACTACCTGTTAGCACTACTAGATATTCTACATTGCATACCCGATTGGATAGCAATAGCATGCATACAATCTCACCACTTAAGAAATATAGCGCAATCTTTACCCGTCAAACAGGTCGGACAAGCAGACAAAGATGGATATAGACTATTTCTCAAATGCCAAGCTTCCGGCACTTTCCCAAGAACACATAGTCAGAGAACAGACCGCACACCGCTGTAACGATAGGACATTGTACGAACAGCTCAGGATAGCTGACACGTTGGGGGTGGGATTCCCGACACTCATGGGCACTGATTTGATTAAGGTGAGCTTATTGCACGCATTCGTTCGGTTTTAGCTGACCAGAAGCTCAAACTGTACATATGATTGCATACATATACGCATGTGTTTATGTATTGTTACGAGTATTTTTTTTAGGTATAGAGACCCGTACGATATACGGTGTTTGTCTGCAAGCGATTTTCGAAAAGATATTTTATTACTCGTGCTTCGCTATGAAATATGCATACTACTGTCGGGATCACATAATTGTGCTGCACACCTGTTTCCAGAATAAGTAGGCAATTATTATATATATATCTATATATATGTATATACTTATATACACACATATTTATATATAAATATATATAAAAATATACATATATATGTATACATACATACATACATATACATATATACATACATACATACATACATATATATATATATATATATATATATATATATATTCTATACTATTACATTTAAGTATGTGTATATTAATGATCTGCAGATATGTTGTTACATACACGGTAGTTGCGTGTATTATTATACTTGTATATGAATATATTTACAAATATGCAACATTTGAGGTGGTATTGTACAGTTCCAAAAGTGATATAAAGGCAAATACTACTATCAACTTAGTGTTGGAATGGTGACTGTTCTGAACTTCACACAAAATGTGAGCTTGGGTCCGAACTACTACATATGACAATAAAGCAAGGTATGCATTGAATTTGAATTCCCCGATCACAGCGTCTGCTGAGGTGGGATCCAACGAACCGTGTGGCCGCTGACAAAGCTCTCACACATGCGTACTTCACCAATCCGAACGGAGATAAACCGTTTGTGTGTTCACTGTGCGGAAAAGAGATGGTTTTTATGAGTGACTACAGACGTCATATGGCTGCTAAAGAATGTAATCACAGTTAGCCGTGCCTAGTAGTAACTCACATCGTACGTGAAAACTGGCGTACGATCGAAATAGTAAATAGTAAATACACTCTTGACTCACCGTCTAAAATTCTAAACACAGTCTACAGCGTATACACTACAGTACAGCCAAAATACAGTCTACACTCTACAGTCTACTTCACTCCCTCTCGTCACACAGTCGTCAGCCGTCAGGTCGTCAGTTCGTCACTATTTACTACTAGAGAGAGAGTGGAGAGTGATCACTCTACTCACTCCTGTCACATGTATATTACTATATTTACTAAATAAACATTTAATCCCTCTCTCTAATTCTGAGAGTAGTAGAGATTGAATTTATATTTATTTTTAAAAATATAAATATATTTTGTTGTTTGTTCTGGATATTTTTATTTAAAAACGTAAAAGAAAAAACAATTTTCTTATTAGTTTTTTAAGGTCAAGTGGACCAACGCGTAGCCGTCAAGTTCTAAATAAATCAGGCAGACAGACGTCAGACACCCAACGTCATATATATATATATATATTTGAACAATTACGGTTCATTGCGTTAAGACGGCTACGTTTTCGTACGTTGCATGACCTTGGCTGTGAAGCCCGCAAAAATATTGGCATATACCATCCAACTTTATTTGCCAAAATATGGGGGACTACCTGATGTACAAAATTAACTTTTTCAGTTTTGGATACGGTCCGATGTAAATATTTGGCATTTATTGATCTATGGAAAGTTCCTAAAAAATATTATTTTGAAATCGTCGTTTTAGAAAAATCAAAATGAATACGGTTTGCTACATAACTTTCATATTGAGCTCGTTAACGTTAAAAGAATTACGTTTTCAGCTACATAGCGTGTACGTTATGACCCTTTTAAGGCCAGCTGAGGCTGTCACCGGGTCTAACTGTCTATTGTCAAATGTCAATGACTCGATACACAACACTTTTGTTTTTGTAAAAATAAAAATAAACAACGGGCTAATTACAGTACGGAGTAGATACGGCGCCGCGATCAAATCCACCACATACTACTGGACAAGAGTAAATGTTTTTTGAAATAGAAACAGGGGCGGGTGGACTGAGGAGGTCTGCGAGGACCGGGGGAGCCTGAATTCAGTCAATTGAGATTTCCTTCATTTTTTTATTCTTTGCACAACTGTGACAACTCACAACAGCAAGAGACTGATGAGAGTTAAACAACTCGCAGGGGTTTTTTTAACACCGACTTTGTTGAATATAGAAAGCTATGCGATTTTACGTAAACCTGTAGCACACGGAGCGAAAATCTATTTTTAGAACACTTCCTCTAGACATCCGTTGGACAAACGGAAAGTTGCAGGCGTTAAAGTTGACATTCTCATAAATATCCCTGTAATTTGATTGACTACATTCCATGAAATACGACATGGGATCTCTATTCCCAATGTGGGCCCCTGAGTGAGGGGGTAAATGTACTGATAGAGCCTTTTGAGGTCCTTTATCACAAAACTATCAAATTTGAAAATTTCTTACCTGATCAAAATGAATCGATATGATTTCTTGACCATTCAAAACATAAAAATACTTGATGTGTTGGGTATCGCGCCGTACAAGTGACTGTGCTAATATATACAAGGAGAAACATGGTTGGCCATGAAACTAGCTCACCTAACTTTTGACGCATTGAACATCATATATATATGTTGAATAGCGGAAAAGTTATAAAAAAAAGCGTGGTGAAAATTTGCTACCGATTTTATAAAATCGGTGTTAAAAGAAATACAACTGACGTCTGACGACAGAGTGACAACTCGGACGAGTGACGACTGACGAGTGACGACTTCCAACTTCTAAGTTCGGACGTTCTGTTCCAGATGCCCCGTTCTCGATTTTTTCGAGTATATATTTTTAATTATCGATTTTTGGGTCGAATATTTGTCAAGAAATGCAGATATTGGAAATTCGACCACCGAATATCCACCGAAATCCCTCTCGACTCGATAGGCTCGGTAGCAATTCGATATCGAATTTGATAAATCGACTTTTTTGGGGGATTATTTTGGTAAAAGACAAATAACCAAACTGACACCAGATCTTAAAAATCTGTAATTCGTGCAAAATAAGGTTTTCTAGGGTTATTTTCTATTTTTCAAAAAGTCAATCTCTACTTTGGGGGTTTTTTTTGATGGAATGGATATCTCGAATTATCGAATTTCAGAAAAACAAGTGCCTTGAAATTTGATACCTCCAAGATAGATGGGGTCGAAAAATTGGATGACGGAACGGTTTAATAGTCTATACTCTGTGTCTCTATGACTCTGTGATAACTGAAATATCATCAATAGACATGAACGAAAAGCCGGTGTTGCATCTTCGTCGGAGTAATATCGTCACGATACTCCTTTGTTACATTAAACTCTTTGATGATGAATTGATGATGCCTGGTGACCGGTGGTAGTTGGTACTAATTTATTTATTTATTTAAAAATGAATATTGAAGGTTATGACTATAAATATTGGTCTTTTTTTTTAAGTATGGCAAATCAATACATAAGAGTAAATGTAAAATTTGTTTTTGTAAAAACATTTTTGCGGACACTTTCATTTTTGAAAAATGCCCTGAAGGCTGAAGGCTGCGCCCTGCAGCCGCCTCCAAGGCTCAATTCGCAAGTCGCTACTCGGAACTCAGAAACTCGGAACTCAGATCCTCAGTATAAATTTTTATAGAATATATGGTACGATAGACCACCGAATATGAACAATAAAACACAATGCAGCATGTTAACAGACATATTATATCAACAGGTTGTCGCAACCACATTTCGCTATACCTCTGCATAGTGGTAGCAATATCTGTACTGTGTACGCTCGTTTTAAGATGTACTACGGTTTACTACGATGTTGATTTATATAGTCCAGGAAGTAGCAATGAAAATTTGGCTGGTGCGCTACACCCTACGCCCTCGGAGGTACGTGATTTAGACTTAGCACCAGGTACAACCAGTGAAACTGAAACCAGTATAGAGCAAAAAATACACGATGAGTTGGAAGAGCTCGAAACGAATCGTGTGAAGCTTGATGGCCCATCTGTACCGGTCTATAACGACTTACCGAAACATGATTATGACAAGGAGTGGGTCAAGTGTGAACTTCATGGAGATGAAAGTATGGCATGTATGTATCAAACGTTGTGCTATGATGGAGGTACATATTACGCCGTAGTTGCGGAAAAGGATATGGAAGTGTCAGCATCAATTGCCGGCTACAACAATATCAGTCAAGCGCTGGGTGGCGATGGAACCTACAATAGGCATGTTCCAGACCGTGTTAAATTGAGCGCCATGGAAAATATGGGCAAACAGTCACGACCCTTCAGGACTGGGATGCAAATGAAGACAATCAGCGCAGAATTTCTTGAGAGGCTGACATCAGGGGTCAACGGTTCAATATCTTGGCTCCCTGACAATTCGCTATACCTGCAACCTTTCTGCAGCAACTGTCCACATCCGTACTATTCTCTGATGGCGCAGATGCCCTTATGGAATGTGATAAATAATGTGTTGAACGGGATCAAAGAAGTCATGATGCCCCGGGCAGTCTTTTTAGACTCTCATAGAGATTGTCAGTCACCATATTTTCATTTCTGGTACGACATTATATCCTCAGTTGTCCAAAACAACGGCCTCGTTGATGTAACGAGCATTGATGTTGCAAATAGACTAGGTATAAATGTCAGCAACAACGAGGAATTACAACGAAGTAATGGTTTTATGATGGACAAGAGCATCATCTGGGATATTGAAGAGAGACAGATTGGAAAATCAAGATGTGCGATTGGACGGAAGGATATTTCATATGAGCACATTGTCTGTTCAAGAAATGCAATTGCCATGGGCACCCCCAATGTACCGGTAACTGGTGCCATCGCTAAGCATAGGTTAAGAACGGAAACTTTCAAACTCAACAATGAGCCCAATGTCGACATGCAAGCAGGAATTGGTAACACTGTGCAAGTAGTAATTGTTGATAGAGGAGACGAAGGTCGCAGATTCGAGAATCCGGAAGAAATGATCGCAACAGCGCAAAACAGTTCGCACGTAGAAGACATCTCTATTAACGTGACGTATGTTCGCTCACTCTGGGACTTGTCCATATACGAGCAATTTAAGCTCTTTTCAACGATGGATGTACTAGTCATGGGGCATGGGGCTGGCGAAACCAATACATTTTTTATGAAAACCAACTCAGCTTTCATCGAGGCTATCCCAATAGGTTGGAACTCGCGTGCATTTAGAGAGTTGTATTCATCTGGTGGAGGATACTATCAATCCATTGATGGATCACTGAACATCACGATCGGAGAAGACCAGCGGAAACGATGGGAAACCGATCAATGTCAGAGAGATACACGTGATTGGCAGAGAAGTCATTACTACGAAATCAGCGGCTGTTATCAATTATTTAAGTACTTCCCTATCAGAGTCGACTCTGACGAGCTGCTCACAACTCTTCAGAGGGCTTACCGTCATCTCAAGTATGCTAAGAACCGTGTCATTCCTTAAATGTTTTAGTTGTCAGAATAGAAACAAAAATAGCTTTCGAATATATAAAACTACCGGCACGGTAGCTACTTACACGACATGTGCCGCCAACTGCTATATACTAAAAATTGTACCTTGAACTTGTAGACCTAAGAGACAACAAACTCGTAATATATTCATGTCTATTTCTGAATACTTATGTATAATACATATCTATATATATATATATGCATGTATATTTATACATATAATATATACACACACACAAAAACATATGTATATATATAAACACATACAAAACATATATATATATATATACATGTATATTTATACATATACATATACACACACATGTATATATATTATATACTATATAAATGTTTTCATGTACATGCATATACATATATATATAAATGTTAAATTATAATGACTCTGATTCTATTCTATTAAGATCCGAGACCTACAAAGCAAACTCACTTTATTATCACCGCTCATAACTTGTCTTCTTCGGTGTACTGCGGCGTCACTGCAACATTTAGAAACGCATCGATGTACTCGAGCATACTTTGGTTGTCTCCATGTGGCGCGGCGGTAAGCGTTTCGTTGTATAGGTAGTCTTCGGGTAAAAAGCAGTGCATCGCCGAATCGACTAAATAGTAGGTTGATGCTGGGTTTATGGCGGTGTAGTTATCCAGAATGCCGAAAAGCGTGGATGTGAATTTTTGCGACTCTCCAAACGCGGGCGCAAATGATGTGATGCCTGACTCATAATCGTCGGATGAGGTTAGAACATAGAATAGCTTCTGTGTGGCATCATCAAACGAACCTAGATAACCCAAAGGATACCCTACATGATTTTGCAAGAAAGGTCCATACACATAACTTTCAAAGTTATACAATCCACCTGCGTTACACAACGCGAGCAGCTCTTCTGTCCAGCCCAAAATATCCTCGCCAACTTTACACCAACCCATGACTTGCACAAACACTCCAAATTGTTCGGGAATCATTCCTATGTAGCTATCTAGTAAAGTGCGTTCAGCTCTGTAATTTTGGACCATGTAATCGTTCCATAATTGGGCGCCTAAAGACCCAGCACTACAACCTGACACAGACAATCGATGTGATGATGAGTTGGTCTCGTCGAGTCTTTGTAAATGTCTGTCATAATAGCCAAAAACCTCCAACGTGTTCAGCGCACCCCTGAAATGGATGGTCGAGTCCCCACCCTCGCTATCACTACCGTTGGTCACGATAGTCGCATTACCAAGAAATAAATCGCCACTACAATAGTTATTCACAATGATGGACCAGCCCCCCTTCACCACCGGATTCTCAGAATTACTAAAATCAAAAATACCAGAATCTTCGGGCCGGAAGTTTATCGTGGCCACAGGTACTGCGCGACACATCTCGTAATTAAAGCAGCCACCTCCACCCTGAAACCAAAACAATACATTGTCTGTTGTTCCAGGAAACACCTGAAAAGCGAAGGGTGTACCGTCATTACATATCGCCTTTGTTTCCGTTGGGTCTGGCCTCACAATCCACCCTTTACTAGCTCCTTGATTCGCACGAAGATAGGTCATATTACAATCTTGACCAGCCGCCAAATTTATATCACAAACAGCAAAATCGGTGTACATATCTATAGGCACTGGCTGCACATCCAAAAGCCTATCTGTAGTATTGACTCCTATTACCCCGGCCAATGTATATATATCAGCACGTGCTCCGGGAATGGGGGCGTGGGTTGGATTAGGGACTACCATATCTTGTACAGTTTGTAGGAACTCGTGTAATTCTTGCTTGGGGTCAGCACGTGCCGAGGCGGCATCAGCGACCTGCGATACTACCAGAGCCACAGCAGAAAGTGAACGAAGCATGGTTCTAGTGCAGTTACTTTTGCAACTTTGTACTGTACTTTATTCCAAAATATATGGAATGCCTTCTTTTCTCACGAATGGCGAGTTATATAAACATTTTTTCATTATAGTACGTATTGTATTGTATCAAAAGTATGAGTTCGCCGACGGCCAGACGGCAGACGCCCTCTATAGACTATAGAGAGAATATCAGTATATGTAATACCCTCAAAGAAAACTAACAGACAGATACAGAAGCGATTAGTTTAGCTGAATGTGCTCTCTTAGATCCGTACTCCTTCGACACACACAGAGAGGGAGAGTGAGTGAGTGAGTTGACTTGATCAACGGTATGAGATTTTGCATCTCCGCCATGATTCCGCCGTTGTGAACCGTACGCCGCAAGAGTCGACTGCGTGAGAGTAATTAAGCGAATGAGTTGACTTGATCAACGGCATGGGATTTTGAATTTCCGCCATGCGCCGTTGTCAACTTTATACGGCATGACGGCGTGAGTCGACTGCCTGAGAGTCTGAGACTGAGAGTCACTAGGGAGAACAAGAGTATTTTTTAAAATATACTTTTTTGTCACAACGTGAGTAGCTATAGAATTATTTATGTATTTAGTAATAAATAGAACTGATTACTGCGTAAATCTGTTTTTTGTTTTGTTTTATTTTTAAAACACAAAATGCGTACGGTATCCTATTCAGTATTCAGAGTTTCAGACAATAAATTAGATTTGAGATTTCAGGCCTGTGCATAAGATTTGTGATTTGAGATTCACTCTGGCCGAAAGAGGTCAGGTAACATTGACAAGCAGGAGTAATAAATAACAACTTGAACAAGCTGTCGAGTGCGACTGTATAATGTGACTCTGTGACCGTGAGTCGTGAGACTGTACTTCACTACATATGTGGTGCAGGTGAGACTGTATGTGAGTCTGCGAGTGTGAGCCTGGGTCTAGGACTCCTGGAGGTTGTAACTGGTGACTTCTCCTGCGAGTCTGTGACTGTGAACTTCAGTGTGAAGTGTGAGACCTGGGTCGCTCGCTGCTGGCGCTGGCCGCCGGCTGACGGCTGTCCCTTCCTATTGGCTGTTGAAACTTGTAAGGCCCCTCAGGGCTCGGGTATAAACCAACGTCCGCACTCAGCGCTGCTGTTATTGACTTTTGCACAAGCTATGTCACCGCCAGCTTGCTCTTAGATGTTTTTTTTTAAAACACTAAACACGGTGATTGTGCTTGTGATTCTTTGTATAGAAAAATAATTTTGAGAAAATTTACTTTTTTGGTACCATCCTAGGGTTTGATCCTGGTACTAAAATTTAGTATTTAGTAGTATCCTTCTAAATTAAAAAAAAACAAAAAATCACAAAGTACTAAGAAAAAGCTGAAAGGGTACAGACTACGGACAGTCGGACAGAAAGACTGTCTATACGACACCCGTTACAATAAAATTATTAACGCCCGAGCCGTGTCCAAAACCGCATCCGGGTCCATTTGCAAAGGTAGGGTCCATATTTATGGGACCGCTCCCAATCCACCAAGGTCCAGAAAATGGACCAGGGTACACCACTGACGGTTACGATTTCATGCAGTGGATTTTGAAATCATTGTGGACACGTACATGTGGGTTATTGTATGCTTTGATAGTAGACACGTACAAGTGGGTTATTGTATGCTTTGATAGCAGACACGTACAAGTGGATTATTGTATGCTTTGATATCAGACACGTACAAGTGGGTCAGATATCAGACACGTACAAGTAGGTTATTGTATGCTTTGATAGAAGACACGTACAAGTGGGTTATTGTATGCTTTGATATCAGACACGTACGAGTGGGTTATACTATGCCTTAGTGTGGAGCTAAGGACGAGAGAAAAATATTGTAGTATTCCTTGATATTAGTGTGTAACTGCGCAGGAGTGAAACATAGCACAAAAATTGTATGTGGATGTCTATTTCATTTCGAGGTAGTAGGCCCATCTTGATCCATTCCCGGCAGTCCATGGTAAACTTAGCCTGATTAGATCTTGAATATGTCGACAACGTGGTAAGTACGCGATATGGTCTTATGTATCTATATGTCTATGTATCTATCTATCTATGCCTCTGTATATCTATGAATCTATTTGTGTGTATGTATGTATCTATGTAACTATGTATGTATCTATGCCTGCTTGCATGCCTGCATGCCTGCTTGCATGCCTTTGCCTGCTATATAATGTATGTATGTAAGTATATATCTATCTATTTATCTATGTGTCTATCTATGTATCTACCTATGTATGCATGCGTGCGTCCATGCATATTTGCATGAACGCAAGCATGCTTGCATGCATTTGCCTGCTATATAATGTATATATGTAAGTATGTATGTATCTATTTATCTATGTACCTATGTATGTATCTATCCATGCATGCATGCGTGCGTCCATGCATATTTGCATGAAAGCATGCGTGCTTGGATGAATTAATGCCTGCCTGCCTGCTTGCATGCCTTTGCCTGCTATATAATGTACGTATGTAAGTATATATCTATCTATTTGTCTGCGTGTATCTATGTATCTACCTATGTATGCATGCGTGCGTCCATGCATATTTGCATGAACGCATGCATTCTTGCATGCATTAATGCCTGCCTGCTATATAATGTATGTATGTAAGTATGTATGTATCTATATATCTATGTATCTATGTATGTATCTATCCATGTATGCATGCGTGCTTCCATGTATATTTGCAGGAAATCATGCGTGCTTGCATGAATTAATGCCTGCCTGCTTGCATGCCTTTGCCTGCTATATAATGTATGTATGCAAGTATGTATGTATCTATTTATCTATGTATCTATCTATTTATCTATCTAAGTATACATGCGTGCGTCCATGCATATTTGCACGAACGCATGCGTGCTTGCCTGCATTGATGCCTGCCTGCCTGCTTGCATGCCTTTGCCTGCTATATAATGTATGTATTTAAGTATGTATCTATCTATGTATCTATGTATTCATGTATCGATCTATATATATATATATATATATATACATATAAATATATAGTATATATGTAGTATATATGGTAGTGTGTGCGCGCGCGTGAGTGTGTGTGTATTAGTGCCTGTGCGTGGATGTGGGGTGTTTGTGTGTGTGGGCTTATATACTTCTATATATATAAATATATTTATATGTATATATATATACATATATATATATATATATATATTATATATATATATACATATGATATATATATATATATATATATATATATATATATTAATACATATTAATATATATATATAAATACATATTAATATATATTAATATATATTAATACCTGGCGTATTGGAACGCCTATTCGAACAACCAAATAACAAAAAAATATCAATAAAAGGACTACACATGAATAGAATGTCGTATTGAATATCCCTGATTCACCAATTATTTGAATAGTCATTTTTACTTACCTTTTTGATGATTGCTGGGAATTTGAATCGTTTAGAGGTAATTTCCTTCCGGATTTCTCGTTAACCACAGACAGACACGTGCGTTGATTGCATAGAGTAGGTGCGGCGAGCGCTGATATCTCCACCTAACATTCGATGCCTATAATTTATAAGATCGTGGTACTGTTTCTGGACCACTGTAACTTTTGCACCTCTTTACAACCCTTGTACGCCCATAGGCACTGCGATACCTGAAGTGCATGTTAACTAATTGTTCATCAAAAAGTCCAGTTTTTGACTTTTATGCTCAGTATCAATTTGTACCAAACCTCTTTGGAAAAAGAAAGAAAAAGCCAGTTTCTGAAAGTGAAACACAGACAAAAATACGATGTGTATAAATTATATATTTTTCGAACTGAACTCTTTCTTGTATATGTGTATATCCATGTTATGTAAATGTATATATATACATATACATAATATATATATAAATATAAATATATATATATATATGTATATATATATATATATATATATATAATATATGCAATATATACTATTATTATATATATATA